AAAAAAAAAAAAAAAAAAAAAAACTATTCAAATAAATTTGTAAAATTTATACCAAAGAAAACAGGTCACAAGCCAGAAAATGAAAGATACAAAATTTTCCACTCCATGTCTGTTTAAAATTAAAAAAAAAAAAAAAATTGTATGCACTCCTACTTTCCATTTTCCAAATCTAGAATTACATTCGACATACCAAGTGACAATGATACTAAGGTAAGTAATCAATAAAGTTCCAACATAATTGACTTGCAATAGAAAAGTTTAGGCATAATTTGGTGAGGAGAATACCTTTAGAAGTGCAACAAAATCAAGAGATCGACGGAATGCAGCAAGTATGAATTCTAAGAGCCTCTTTCGAACCTACATGCAAAAATCACAATGTATTGTGAATGTTTCAAGTACAAAAATAATTTCAACATTTAGATAACAACCGACAGAGACATGTCATGTAATACAAGTAGAGATAGAGAAAGAACCAACAGAGAAAAGGGAGAAGAAGAATGAGAATCAGATAGGGGATAGAAGCAGAGAAAAGAAGAGATGGTGAGAGTGTCTAATGGGGAGAGAGAGATACAAAAATTCTTAATAACTTCAATTATGCCAAAATCTGATAAAATTCATACACCAACACTATGTATATATAAGGCTAACGAATAAAAATAAATAGATATACTCAAAATAACTCATGAACAGATTTAAACTCCTAAATAACTCAAACTCCCAATTATTGCTGCCTTATTGATCTTCATCAATTCTCCCCACTAAGAAGAACTCCCATCCGGAGATTGAAGAGAAAGATAACACTAAAATTATTCAGAATTAAAGTATCAAAGTTTGTCCTTAACAATCGGAGTGGCATCAGTGATGAACCCAGAGCATATGATCCCCAAAAGTAGTCACAGAGAGCTTTACAGTGAACTATTAATTTTGTGAGTTATTTGTCAGCTAAAGTGAACTAACTTTGCATATTATTTAGTGGGATTTGGCACTTAATAGAATCCATAGGCATCCCTTCAAGCTTCATCCAGACATTGGCACACTATCATGGTTGATTGTTCTCATGTAGATTAATCAGACATTGGTTTCACAATAATTCCAAAAACACATGATTTAGACACAGAATATGCAAGAGTAGATTTGATTCTCAAAGCTACCAGTTCCAAGAAATTTCACAGAACATACACAGAATATACACAGAAATTTATACACAAACACTCCCACTTATATATATATATATATATCTCAAACAGGTCTGAACAATCAGAAATCTAAGCTCAAACAAAACAAATGCATATATACATGTCCGAAATTAAAGTTAAACTTACAGATTTGAGAAGCCAAATCTCAAACAGGTTTCATGTAGATTAATCGACCAATTGATGAACGATGAGATCTAATAAAAACAGAAAATCAGAAGTGAGAAGCCAGATCTGAGTTAGAATGTAAAAAATCTATTAAAAATAAAAAACCTAAACAAATTGAAACTCACAAAATCGAAAGAGACAACTGCAAATTTGGAGAATCAACCTTCGAATCTTCAAGAATCAACCTTTGAATCTGATGAAGAGATGAGTACAGAGAGTGAGAGAGAAAATTCGAACAAGAGCGAGAGTAAGACTGCGACAGAGAGAATTTGAGCGAGAGCGAGAGTGAGAGAAACTGCAAATCTGGAGAATCAATCTTCGAATCTTCAAGAATCAACCTTCAAATCTTCGACAAACTTCATAGATCTGATGAATAGATGAGTACAGAGAGTGAGAGTGAGACTGAGAGAGAGAGAATTCGAGCAAGAGCGACAGTGAGACTAAGACAGATAGAATGAGAGCGAGAGTGAGAGACAACTGCAAATCTGGAGAATCAACCTTCGAATCTTCAAGAATCAACCTTCAAATCTTCGACAAACTTCATAGATCTGATGAAGAGATGAGTACAGAGAGTGAGACTGAGACTGAGAGAGAGAGAATTCGAGCAAGAGCGACAGCGAGACTAAGACAGAGAGAATGAGAGCGAGAGCGAGAGCGAGAGCGAGAGCGAGAGTGAGAGACAACTGCAAATCTGGAGAATCAACCTTCGAATCTTCAAGAATCAACCTTCAAATCTTCGACAAACTTCATAGATCTGATGAAGAGATGAGTACAGAGAGCGAGAGTGAGAGACACTTCGAGCGAGAGCGAGAGCGAGAGCGAGGGTGAGAGTGAGAGTGAGAGTGAGAGTGAATTCGAGCGAGTAAGAGTGAGAGGAAGAGAGTGACGGCGTCAGACATGCACCAGCAACAGCACTGTTTTGAAATTAATTAACACGGCACTGTTGTTTTTAATTTTTAATTGATCAGTGATGGCGTTTCAATGAAAACGCCATAAAAAAAAAACGTTGCTTTAGCTTGTTTCTATTATATCTATCCCAATATTTATGAAAAGTCAAAAATTACAATAACGATAAGATAATTATCTGATATTAATCAAACGTCATCCCTTCTAATTTTATGGTGGTGATCGTGAATTGCTAAAGAAATTTTAAATTTTTTTTATCATTGTCTAAACATGACATGAGAGTACGGTATGGGTTATTGGATAGAAAAAGACAAAAAAGAGAGAAGACACTAGAAAAATTTATTGACTTGTTTTCTTTTCAAATTTAAGTTTATTAAACGACTGTTAAATTAATAAATTATAAATATACTTTTAAGATTTGTTTAACATATAAACTATTTTTTATAATTTAAAAAATTACATTAGATTTCTTTAAATTTTTAATTGCATAACAGATGATCACTTCTATTAACAATTATTAAATCAATTAATAATTTTTAATAATGTTAAAAATATATCTTAATTAATGATTATAATAATTTTATTATCGTATAAGAGAATAGTTATGAATTTTATTTTTTCTGTTAATTATGTTAAATAAAAATTCTGACAATAAAATATTTATAATTTCCAAAACTATGGAGGGCAATCGAACTACATGAGGTGTATTTGTAATTTAACTAAAAGAAATTAAGAATAAAACAAATAGTAAAAAAAAAAGAAAAAAAAAATGAAAACGGCACCATTGCTATGACAGCACAATATCCCACCTCTTTAGTTATGATAATATTTTAGTTATAACTATGAGATCTTTGGTTATGCTTGACATAATGTTTGGTTATAAATTTTTTTTTTTTAGTTGTAACTCAGAAAGTATAAAGTTATGTTATTTTTTTTAGTTATAAGATGCATATGACAGACACCCTTTGTGTACCATAGTCTTTCCCTTGAGAAATTATTCATTGCCCCAGGTAGGGCTGTCAATGGATCGGAGTTAATCTGAATCTGACCCGAATTTGATCCGAAAATCCGAATCCATTTACAAAAAATTTAATCCGGCAATCCGATAATTCGAATATGTTTAATCCATTTATTAAATGGATCGAATATGCAAAAATTGGAACCGACCTGATAATCTGATCTGATTATTCTCAATTTGAATGAAGAAAACACAAAATGAAAAAAATAATAATAAATTATATAAAATTATAGCTCAATAAATAAATAAATGGATCCGATCGGATATTCAAAATTATCGGATTCGGATTTAGGTGATCTATAATTGGAAATGGGCTAAACAGATTTGGATTGGATTCGGGTTTGTCTTAATCGGATTGAATTCGGATTTTGACAAATCTGATACGATCAAAAATCCGAATTTGACCCATTTACAGGCCTACCCAGGGCAAATCTAGGTGGTGTGCCAATTTAAATATTATTAGTTGCAATAGTGGGTCCCATTATTTGTTTGTCTCATTTGGGAAGACAACTGGATACTTGTCCAAATATAAATGGTATGGAGCAGTGCTCCTAAACCACTAAGGCCATGTTTGGTTTGTATTTATGAAATAATTTTGAAAAATAATTTTTTTGAAAGAACTTACAAAATTTGAAAATTTGTTTGTGAAAAACCTTAAAAATCCCGAGATAGTGATTTGCAATTAGGATTCAATTTTAGCAATGAATAACAATCTCCAATCAAAACACAAGTAGATTTAATTAATTTAAACGAGAATTGAACTGTATCAATCAAACAAACATTGATAAATCAAAACAACGATATAACGTGGAAAAAATCACAATTGGAGCACCTCTAACTGCAATAAAAAATTTATGGGTCAAAACCACAAAACAATCCACTAAGAAGACAAAGGAATTACACATGAGAACCCTCAATCATCTACCGAATTCGTGCCCAAATTAAATCGAATCCGATGTGCTTCTTCCACCACCGTCTTCACATCGGAATTGCTTTGCCTAACATTGAATCCACAACGTCAATGTTTAGGGATGTAATAATGGCCCGGTCCATTCGAGCCCGGGCTCAAGCTGGCCCAAGCTGGCCTCGCGGGCTCTCGTCTTTTTAGGGCCCAGGCCCAAGCCCACTCGTAATAGGGTCGCGGGCTGGGCATAGTTGGGCTTTTATTTTATTTTATTTTTTATATTAGAAATAAAAAAAATTATACTAGAATATTTTTAGTTAAAATTAATGAGATGTTTTGTTTGGTTATGTTTCATGGTGATATTTAAATTTAATTATATATGGCTTAAGTTTTTTTAATTATGAACTTATAACTAAAAAAGTATGCAATTATGTAATTTTTTTCTTTCGAAATGAATAATTTTATATATATGAAATTGAAACTTTCAATATTACAATATTAAATTATTTATATAACATTTATTGAATGAATAATTTTTATTTCAAAATGAAATAAAATATTACAAAATTTGATATTATTAAATAAATTAGGTGTAAATTATTGATGATGGTAAAACAATTGCATCATTATAGGTTAAGTACATCCCAACTAGGTTAGCACCTACTAACCTACCAATCATTTGCATTATACTCCATCTCAATAATTTAATGCAAAAAAAGAAGAAAAAAAACGAAACGAAATGAAATGAAATAGTAAAAAATAAATTGTTGACCAATCATCAGAGGAGACAAACATTTCAGTTGCGTTGCCCGAGGATATGTCATCCAAATCATTTTGAATTCGCTCCTTTTACTATAATTTTGTCTTCTTGTAAGCGCAGGCATATGATCTCTGCAAATCATCAGTGCCTTAACCATTTCGGGTGAAAGCTTGCTCCGGTAATCGCTCAGCACTCGTCTACCTGCACTAAAAGTTATTTCCGAAGCAACTGTAGAAATAGAAATGGTTAGTATATTACGAGTCATCTGTGAAACTACATGCCACATAATTTCATTTTGTTTCTACCATTCCAAAATATCAAAATCATCGGAATCATCCACTGACGAGCTTTCCAAATAATGTTGTAGTTTAGAACTATTTACACTTGTATGTTGAGATATTCTTCTGCTTTTTATTGCTATAAAATACTTTATCTCTCGCCTCGAGATGAGACTGCTAGTGTAGTGCGTGTAGGTGTATTTACAGATACAGCTGCTTTGTATTTTTCAAATAATTTGTTGCATGTTTGCATTATAGGGGCAAACTGTGTTTGATCAAGGAAAATACGCTCTAAAAATTCTTGTAAACTAATTTATTTACACCTAAGATCAATTATTATGGTTAAACCCAATAGATGAGGCAAATGATCAAAATATTTATCAATTTTTTTTTTTTTCATTGAAGTAATAATGGTTACATAATATTCATTATCTATATATTTTACGAAAACTTTAATTATTTCTGCTAGTATATGTAAAACAAATGATGAAGTAGGAATATATATATTTTTGTGTTTTCATTTTTGGCCAAATTTAAACTGAGACACTGATCTTATAAATCAAAAATTTTACCAAACAAGTTTTTATTTGAGTTTGTGTAATTTTTGTAAATATAAATATAAACTGAAAGCGTAGTGTTACAAATGGAACCTTAGTGTTGCTCTGCAGAGGGTATTAGTCATCTAAGAAATGCATGCTAACGAATATTTATAAAGTCCACAACCTGATATTTCGAAGTCAATGCAATTGGGGCTTCATCAACTAGTATTATGTAAACATTTTCATATGTCTATGCATATACGACAAATTTTGTAGTTAATTATATACTTAAAAAAGAACAACCTTTTATCTAGTAGTGAATGTCGTCGATTTTCCCCGAATGATCACGAAGTTTTGCAATCGAATATCAAAGTTTTTAAGACCATACTTATAGAACAGGAATTTTAATAATTCATAAGGATGCTAAAAGTGATTAATTTTGACATCTTTAAAAATTTGAATGGAAAGAGTTTGGTTTAACATCTGATCTGTGGTCAAATAATGGTTTTGAATATCAAAATGTGTCATTTTATTGATAATGATCTGGAATTAAATAATAGAATTATTCATTTAAATAGTTATTGAACTTCACATGTTGTCATTTGCGCTTGGTGATTAGAAATTAAGAAATATATTATTATGAGTGGGTTTTACAAAATATAATATTTACGATTAATTCTAGATAATGCAGCATATTAATAATCAAACTGTCAACCCTTTAAAATCAACTTTACAATTACTTTATTGATGGTGATTTATTTCATGTCGTTGTTGTGCCCAATATTTTTAAATTTGATTGTTAATAAGCTATGCATGTATAAAGGACTTTATCTTGAAAAAAAAAAAAATAATAAAAAATCAGTTATTTACTATTATTGTTATAGGTAATCGATTTCGGAATATAAGAAAAATTTGTTAAACGAGAAAATATGCCATTTTAAAAAATTAATTTTAGATGTAAGATAGTAGGTGGAATTACTATATATATGTTAAAATAGTTTGTAAACAATTAAAAGCAATAGATTTACTTTTGTACAACATCATAGGAGGAGTCGTTACTCCCACAGAATTAATTGGGCAAATATCCTTGTATAAAGATTTTTTTAAAGTTTTCGATACTTCAACAAAATTATTTATATATAGTAATG